AAGCTATTATGCATTTTCCATCAACCAGTTACTGGTACTGCAATCATAAGGCTCACTGTAAAAACATATTCTCTCAACCTCTTCTTTTTTTAAAAAAATGTGAGTGAGACAAATGTCATCAGTGGGAAAGTTGAGAAAGTGTTTGGGTTTAATCTGCCAAGCTCCCCTCTCCTCTTGGTAGGAATTACTGTGGTGCCTCGGGGGCTAAAGATGCAACCTACATCTCATCACTCCATCAGGAGATATACTTTGATCATAACTTAAGCTTCTTTGTTCAAAAGAAATGTAGGAGTACAAGCCGTCCTGCTGGAGATTTTCCTTAGAGAAAATCTCAGCATTCCAGCAGGTACCTGCAATGTGTTATTGATTTAAATGGCGACATCTACTGGCCAATAGTTTTCTGCAACAATATGTAGACCGAAGCCAGGTTAGCACATGTGGCCACATGAGTGAGCGTTATTGAAGAGGTAACTTATGAACTATACAATACTTTGCAAAGACCAGTCAAATATGAGAAGAAAAATGGTTACCATTTTCAGCCACAGACATAATTCAATTGTTTTTGAAAACTTATTCACACTACCATCTTGAATGAATACAATAATAATCCTTGCATTTGATGTAGCGCCTTTCAGCTCAGGAGAGAGTCTCAAAATGCTTCAGAAGATTCACTGTAAAGTGCAGTGACTGTTTCTTTTTTAAGTGAACTTAGCAGTCAGTTTGCACACAACTAACAAGTATCAAGTATTATTATTTATTATTACAATAATATCCCACACACAGCCATGAAGTGAATGACTAATTTTATTGGATGGTATTGTTGGCCAGGACACCAGGAGAAATTCCCTTCTCTTTCTGAATAGTGCACTGGGATCTTTAACATCCACCTGAACAGGCAGAAGAATCCTTGGTTTAGTGGCTCATCTGAACGACAGCACTTCCGATAATGTAGTGTATCCCCAGTACTTTATTGGAGTGTCAGCCTGGACTGTGAGCACCAAGTCTCTATGTTGGGTTAAACTATCTAAACTATGCCTTGAACATACTAACATCAGTGCCATTATCCTGTTGTCATTGTTGAAGTACACATATGTACTTAATTGTGCTTTTGAATAGCTTTGTTTCAATAAACTATGAATATGAAAATAACTTAATACCATGTTTCTTACATTTCAAAGCATCCTTTAATGTATACATATACTATATCTTCATTTACAGTGTTTTACACTTATTCTAGAAAGACAAAAAGAAGCAGTGGCAAATTTGTTTGTGCACAACTAAAATGTCAACATAGAGGTCTTTACTAAAATCTTGAAAAATCGGTGGGCAAAAAGTGTGCAGCAACCAAAAGAGATCAAACCCTGCGAAGAACTGAAAAGTCCGATGAGAAATCTTCATAAACAGAACAAGCAGATTTGGTCATTAGATCCAATGTGAAATTGCATTAGATGCAATGTGTCACTGTGCAGGTGTCAGGGTGTGTGGAATTAATGACACATCACTGCTCCCTTAAATCAATTCACTTAAGAGAAACTGTGCTACATACATGAGGGAGAAGGTATTGGAGGCTCATGTGGAGTATAAATACCGGCCCAGACTAGTTGGATCAAATGGCCTATTTCAGTACTGTACAGTCTGTGTAATTCTATAGGATTCTATGGCTTATATTTGTTAAGAGACAGCCATATTATTAATTGTGCTTCTTAAGATTGGTTTCAATAAGAGGCATCCATATGAATAGCTTTGCTTAAGATTGGCTTTGCATGCATTAAGCTAAATTGCAGTTTTACGGATGGTACACTATTATTTATTTCAAAAGTTTTGATTTCCATTTTGAATTGCAATCCTAGATTTTGGAGGTTAACACCTGTATCAATCAATGTTTCCAGTGCAAACCATATGTAGTAATTAACTCTCAGAATTTGTCTGTGAGACAAACTACTACATTTAAGATTGTCAGAAATATATTGAACATTGTTGGTTGTTGTGATGTTGCTATGTAAATAGTTGTGTCATTAGCGTTAACCTACTTTATTTCAAAAAGAAAAAAAAGCTAACAAAAAAAAAACACCCAGGCCAAGTATTCATTGGCAACTGAAATTGCAGTGGCCTTTTCCAACGACTTTCAATGTTGTTCAGTTTCATATGTTAAAAATAAACCTTTTGGCTCGCTCAAGAGTATTTAGAAACAATACCATAATTTTCCCTTCCACATTTAAGAAATGCAATTATTTTCATTACCCCATCCCTTAACTATAATTCTCTCCAATACATTATGATTTCTGATATAAAGCATATTGCTTATGACTCTCAGCTGAAAGACATTGGTAGTTCAGTGGTAGTTTTCCAAAACAGTGTGACACATTGCATTTAAACCTAACATCTGTTGCAGCGCAAAATTTTTCAATGTTTTGAAAGTGTATTATAATATAATCCTTGCATTTGATATAGCGCCTTATCACATCTTTGAGACATCTCAAAGCTCTTCACAGAATATATTGTAAAGTGAATTGACAGTACATTTTGTAGGTGAAATGCAGCAAACAAATGCACACAGCAGTATCCCACAAATAGTCATGGATTGAGCATGGATTGAGTGACCACATGTTTTTTTGAAGGGATTATTACCCCCGGAAAACGATCTGCCAATCGACTAACAACTGGGTTCCTACTTACTGCTAGGTAAACAGACGCGTGTGGAATAAGGATGGTCATTAGATCCAATGCTTAAGGTTTTGCCCTACCCGGGAATCGAACCCAGGTTCTCTTGCTTCATTAAAGAAAACCAGTTATACATAAATACATCAGCAGAATAAAAAAACACTTAGGAACTTATTAGCAACATTGTAATATCATCATGTCTATCCTGGTTTACAAGGAAGGTTCCTTAGGAGATTCTTGATTTTGACATTTGGCTCTTTCAACGGAGAATTTATATAAACTACTTTCTGTGCATCACTGTCCTTTATAACCAGTATATAATGTAACTCCCAAATAATTCCAGAGTTGTATCAGTTTCTTTTGAATGCGTGAGTAGATCCAACATTTAAAACAAAGAACTGGTGAAAGAAAAAAATGGATAAAATAATGAAAGACACTCAAGCTGGAGATATTGCATATTAATTTGTTTCTAACTATTATATTATAGTTTTTTTTAATACCCCAGTCTTTATAGAACAGCTTGGAAAATCTAGTCCCAATTTATGTTGAAATGTGCCACTTGCTCAAGACACCACCTCACTGCAACCCAGTGCTAAACATGAGCCTCATCCAATTGACAAACAAGGTTCATGGGTAAGGACTTTGCTAAGAATACTCCTAAGCAATACTACCAGAAGATGGTTATTCAATCCGTAATATGTGCTGCGTTAGCCAATCTTATCCCAGGATAATATCATCCTGATAATATTATATTGATTGATAAGGACAATCTTATCCCAATTAGCTCAATGGGAAGAAAGAAGTAACAGCCAGGGGTTCCATTATTGATCTCCCTATTCAAGCTCTATCCCCTACTGGAAACTAAGCATCTATGTGAACTCTGAGTGAAATCATGATTGGGTTTAACTGTGATGCCTTCCACATTTGAACACAGTTACTTCATACATGAAGAATGAAGAAGGCACCAGGAGATTTCCAGTACCCTGAGTTCATAGAGTCATCTAGTTCTCTGGTTAACAATCCCCCAAATTAATTTCCCATTGATCTCATGGCTGTTGGTGGATCTTGGTGGCACAAATGTCTGGTGGATTTGCTTACATAAATACTCATGGTACTAGACAGTAATTACTTTTGAAGTGCTTTGAGATGTTTTAACATGATAAAGTGTTATAAAAATGCAAGCTCTTGCTTCTTTACCCCCCACCCCCAACCCCCCCACCCCACCCCAAACCGGTGTAGTTGCCTTGAAAGAGGAGGCCAAAAGAAAATTGATACAAATTTTAAGTTTCAAATTGTAGAATTTAATTTACTGCAGTGAGTGACATATCCCATATCTCAAAGGGAGTAAGAACTGCATCTGTTTTTAAAATATTGAGGCCCATCAAAGTTTGATAATCCTCCATGCACTAGTTTGAAGGATTAATTGGAATAAATTATATTAACAATAATATTTTTTGCATTTGATGCTGCGTTTACAATGTCACAGTATCTCAAAGCACTTCGCTAGGAATTGCTGTCAACTTATGTGGACAAACACAGCAGACGATTTGTACATGAGATCCCACAATAGTTGTGAAGTGAATGATCAAAAGAGCAGTGCACTGTTGCTAACTATGAATAATCATAATTCCTTCATTATTATTGCACAATGGTGTCTCATCTCTAATAGGGCTACAAACAGTACAGACTCTTAAAACATAATAATAATAATAATCCTTGCATTTGATATAGCGCTTTTCACGTCGGGAGGACGTCCCAAAGCGCTTCACAGAAGACACTGTAAAGTGAATTGACTGTATATTTGTGGGCGAACGCGGCAGCCAATTGCGCACAGCAATGTCCCATCCTGTTCAAATACTAATAAACACCAACATGATAAAAATAAATTCTCTATATTACAGTACAATAAATAGAACCATATTTAACCTCCTACAAACACAGTGGGACACTCACAGTCTCAGAAAGAAGATTATATTTCTCTTGTTTCTTGGAGATTGGAAATCCACTCCAATGCAAAAAGCTTCAAATAGCAGTTGTATTCTTGAGGTGTCAAATTAGCATCGGAACCATTCAAACAGTGAGCCATATATTGCTTCACTATAGCATTCCCTCAAACACTGTGATGTTTGATGTAACGTACTTTGAATGAGAAATGAAATAAAACAGCTCTATATAAAATCTCTGCCCCTCACTATATGCTTTTTGTTTGTCTCCCAAAGCGTGTTATAGATAGAATACTGTAATATATACTTTATTAATTTTGACACACTTCTAAATTTGTAATTATATAAGCAAAACTACAATACACTAGACAAAGAAGGCACACAGATCAACCAGTCTTATGTACATAAGTTTAGTATTATACAGTTTCAAAGAACAACCTCTCCACTGCTGTCAGCAATAACAGACAGGAGTCAAAGCGTGAATAAGATCAAAATATTTTATGGCAGAATTTCCTCAAGCTATATGAAAATATATGAGCTGTATGCAAAATAGATGCTGCATTACTATAGTAAATACAATACTAAACATTACCACATATCTGTTTCACATCCTTGGGGGAAGAGGATGAACTGCCTTTTTATACTATGAACTACCTCTCATCTAATTGTTGACAAAGCCAAAAGGAGTCAACATCTCATGACCATAGGGTAAAAGCACACACATCCCTCACCATTTCTTGCATCCCTGCATTCCCCAAACCAGTATTCCTGCCTAGGTAACACAATGACACTAGGTTTAGTTGGAGTTGGCCAGGCATTAGCTAGTTTGGGGAATTCTCTAAGAAGGGGGTTATGTTTGCAGAAGCTTATTCTGCCCATAGCTTTTTTTTTCACAGTTACATGATTTTTTTCAGCCTGGCCAATATGGGAAATATACAATACATGCAATTGTAGGTTATGGCACCATGCCATGCTTGGCTCTTCAGTTATGAAGACCCGACTCCAAATTCTGCCCAAGGAATAGGGGTAAAGGTCTCCTATAATTGACAGCTGCCAAGGAATGCAAGTAAAATATTATTGAGTGCATCAAGTAGTCATAACAACAACATTTTAGGATTATTTATGTGATATATTCTTAAATCCAGTGTTTTACCCACTGAGCGACATAGAGTTATTAACTGGTCTTGGGAAATACATTGCACTGCAAGGAAAGGCAACACAGAGATCACAGCAATCCAAAATAGCAAATATCTGACTGATAGCCAAAACCTCATCTCAAATGACTACACTATCCTGTTGTAAACACATTGAAGGGTAAACAGCTCTTCTTGCCAGTCATGAATGCACCCACATATGCTGTTGGCACAGTTAAATACCCCTTTCATTAAAGCAGCTCTACCAATACAACGTGGCTAAAAATTCTTTCAATACGTTTCTCTAGGATAACCAATATGGAATACCTTAAACAATCCCAATAATAACAGTACAGCAGCAATTTCTTAGTACTGTATCATACACAAGTATTGCTAAATGTATACAATATTGTGACATGAACATGTAGTTTCCATATATTAATAAAGTAGCATTTTATTCAACTCACTAACACTATGGGTAGAATATGAACAATTAATTCATTAATAATACTTGGCTCCTTAGCCTGAATGTAGGATATTATAGATGGGCAAAATGTATAATTTGTGGAGTTAAATCAGTCTGCGCTGGGTTAAAACACATCTCTTCCCCATCCTCTACAAATTGTTCTACAAAAAAAAGAGTTCACTGAAGCCAGCAAAAAGTTATGATGAAACCACTTTAAGTAAAAAGAAAGCAGCATGTAGGTGAAAATTTGAAGGTGTCAAAATTGTTCAATAAGTTACCATATTGCTGCTTACCTCTATAGAGTAACGCAAGCCTAAACCCAAGGGATAAGAAATAAGCACCAATTTAGCATGGATTCCCAGGTGAGATCATTCCTGGCAATCTGCCCCCTTGTCTGGCAGTCTCTGATCTCAGAGGAATCAGTTTTGGTGGTAACAGCATCACTTCCTTGGGATAATCAAAGCTTTGAAACAATTGGTAACTTGGTACAAGAACATCCTCTTTTTCCGTTGGAGCACTTCATAAAATTGTGGGCTTAAGATTTACTGTCAATAATCAGTAATTACTAAGTTATCAATAATTCATATCCAACAAGATGTACAAATCTTCAATTTATATCACAGATTATGTATTCTCCTATTACGCTAGTGGTGTCCTCCATGGAATACTTACTGCAGAGTCTGAACTCTGAGGTAGACAGTAAACTGTCTCCTGCAAAAAAAAACAAGTTTCTTTCATCAGCTACTGTTCAACATTGTAGACAATTAAGGAGTTTGATAGCAAGGAAAATGGGTGGCATTAGCTGCATTTAGCAAATTCAGGTAATTCAGCTCCTGTGCATACAGCCAGAAAAACAGGCTTCTCGACAGTAAATGCTGGACAGATGAGATCTGTGAATCGATGCTGGAAGCTATGAAGTAACTGTCCACTCTGGGCATTGAAGAACGACAGCTGACTACCATCACCGTTCAATAAAATACCAACTCTGGTTACAAAGTCTGTGATAAAGACTTCATGTGCTGCACTGTTGTGAAGAAATTCGTACTTGTGCCTATTAGGAAGAAAAGCAATTTGGATTATGCACAATCCATAATTAGTGAAAGGCAGAATCATGTTAGGCAATAATAACTGAGGACAAGCATGGAGCAGATATATGAAGCACTATCTTACCATCAGCAACTCAACTTATACTAACTAAATCATCCTCAGGATAATCCGTGCACACTATTTTGATCTGGACAGATCTAAGGAAGTCTCTCTTGTTAAACGTTTGCACAGGTTGTTCAAAATACTGCATCTACACAGCCATGTCATTGTTTTCCCACAGCATTTCAGTGCCTTGGGACGTCTTCCCAACATGAAAGATGCTATACAAATGTAATTTGTTGTTGTCCTATCACAGGAGCTGAATTGAACTCATTTCTGTCCTCACCCAACGTATAATGTCAGGCTAGATCAGTGTGATACAGGTGCCTTTCAGCAGGGATTAGTGTTTAGCAACATGAACTCTGCCTGATTTGTTTTCCTTCCCTAATTCAGAACAATGTGGCAATGACTCTCATTGAGAACCAAGGCCAAGATCAATTAACTCAACACAGATCAGCCATCAGATCCAGGACCTTCCCAGCTTGTATTGCAAGAATAATAATAAAATATTTCTTGCATTTGATATAACATCTTATCATATCTTCAAGACATCTCAAAGCGCTTTACAGAATATACTGTAAAGTGAATTGACTGTATATTTTAACGGCAAAAGATATCACAGCACACAATGCATTTACCCATTGAGCCATTGGAAACCCGTTATGTACATTTCTAGGACAGTTCTTGTGAGTTCCGATTAATGTGATCTAAGGTTGATATCAAGCAGGATGATATTACTTCACAAAGTGTAGGATTATTGCAAGGAATGTAATTATTCTCTGCAGTGTTAAGACTATTTTACAGGATGTAACTGTTTTATGCAGTGCATTTATTTTATGCTGTGTTAGGGGTATTATATTTGATCTGCCAAGTAACACAGAGGGATGTGTAATTTAAACTGCATCATTTCTAACCTGATTACATAAATCTGCACCTGTTCAGCCTGTTACAATAACAATACTTGCATTTGATATTTCACTTTTCGTGCCTGGAAGACATCTCAAAGATTTATGTAAAATTAATGACTGTGTATTTCGTAGGCAAATGTTAAGAGGAACAAGAATGTGTTTTGTAGTTGCAAAATATTACATTTAGAATATTGTTCCTTTGGAATAAGCAAAAGCAGTTAATTCTGTGCCAAACTAATATATTTTCTATCATGGATATCGTTATCTGTGACTGCACCATTGGTGAACATGTTCCCTGAAGGCCTCAGTGGGCAAATGGTGTGGTGCTGAGCGATGCAGTCACAGGTAACGAGATCCCTGATAGAAACACAGAAATTAGAAGCGTAGCATTCTCTCCACAAAATTGGATACACTACATTTGACCTCAATATGCTTAGTCTAAGCACTTGCATGTGTGTGTGTGTGCATGTGTGTGCACATGCGTATGTGTGCCGGAGGAACAAATCAATCAGAGTCTCATTGCTTATACTTGTAGAATAGTGTCTATTAATGTGATCATTAAATAATAAGAACAATCTCAATCTGATAATTCTCATGTCCAAAAAGCTTGTTAACTCTCAATGTTTAGGGTACCCATAAGAATAGCCACTGAGGTGAGATATCAGAGAGTTGTTGATGTCAGAAAAATTATTCCCAGCATGACAACAACAACAACAACAACAAAATTACATTTATAGAGCGCCTTTCACGTCGGGAGGACATCCCAAAGCGCTGAACAGTCGGGTGTCGGGGCCCGAGCATGGGGGAGGGGTGGTGTAGGGGTGAGGGAAGGCAGAGAGGTGGGAGGGAGACCAAAGGCACAGTCGAAGAGAAAGATCTTGAACTGACCTTGAAGGAGGCAAGGGAGGAAATGAGGCGAAGGGACCGTGGGATGGAGTTCCAGAGCATGGGGACAGAGAGGCTGAAGCCTGAATCAGTATGTTAAGGTGGATAGGGAAATAAATAGAGAAGAATAAATAGCTGGATAAATATCTGGTTAAAACATTACTGAGGGACTTAAGGATAATATGGATAATGATATTTCTAACCTTGGTAATGCTGTGCAAAGGAAGACAGCTTGTTTAGGATGAATAATGTAGGATAATGATTAGTAATTCAGGAATTTTGGTTGATTTGTATTTAGAAAGCGGGGAGAAACCTTCAGAGCTTTTTTCAGAAAATAGAATGCATACTGGAGCAGATTGTATATGGTCTACAGAAGGAATAAGCTTTGATGACCTGAATGGACTTCTCAGTCCATCCCTTTTGATGTTCTTAAAGCTATGTATGTTGTAGGAACAATCCTCAAAGGCTTATTTGGTAGGGAAAGAGTGGGGGAGTGGGACCAATTGGATAGCTCTTGCAAAGAGTCATCACAGGCACGATGGGTCGAATGACCTCCTTCTGTTGTCTAGAATTCTATGATTCTAGGTTAAGTGTAAATGTCTGAAGACTAAGATTTAACTGCAGAATACCGAGTTGGAATTCCAAACCCAAGTGTAGGTCAATTAGCTCTAACCACTCCCATTCTTATTTAGTAAAAGTAAAACCATACCCTGCTGGTGTTACATAATACCGCATGCACCATGATGCCAGGCTTTGCCCCAGTGTACAATTTCTTGTTGTAATGGGATAAGCTACTCCTATTCTGTAGGCTTGGCATCTGTCCACAGTCGTTTCCCAGTAGTGTTGACCAGAAGTAGGTAGCGGCTCACCAAGAACAGGAGGATATCTGTTGAAGAAGTGCAGGGACTCTGTAGACAATAGCTGGCAACACACAGTAATTCAATTCACACAAAAGCAATTCAAAGAGTTCCATATCACATGAAGCAACTGGGGAAATGCCTTGAATAATTGATAACGTTCACAGAGAAATTCTGCACTTGCAAAAATAAAGCATGTCAAATTCTCAGAAAAGTCCCTTCAGGTTTTAAAAGTAGAATTCATAGAATCACAGAATCTTAGAATTATACAGCAAAGAAGGAGGCCATTCGGCCCATCGTGTCTGTGCCGGCTCTTTGAAAAAAGCTGCCCAAATCAGTCCCACTTCTCTGCTCTCTCCCCGTAGCCCTGCAACCTTGTCCTCCCCAAACAATTATCTACTTCTCTCATAAAAGCTGTTATCGAATCGGCTTCTACCACCCTTTCAGGCATTCACTGCCGGATGTATCGTGCAGTTAGTACACTGCCTTTTCATTCTTCTGACCGAGTTTGGAAGCTAACGTGTAAGGTGCTTTAGAAATTACATTTGTAGAGCATCTTACACGTCGGGAGGACATCCCAAGGCGCTGAACAGTCAGGGATTAGGACCCAAGCGGTGGGAGGTGGGTGTGGGGGTTGGGGTAAGGGAGGGTAGGAAGGGGCCGAAGGCACGGTTGAAGAAGAGGTTCTTGAGGTGTGCCTTCAAGGAGGCAAGAGAGGGAGTGAGGCGAAGGGAATGTGGGATGGAGTTCCTGAAGGCTGAAGGCCTGACTGCTGATGGTGGGGCTGGCCAGGTGGGGGACATAGAGCAGGCCGGAGACTGCTGAGCGGAGGGAACGGAAGGATGATAAAGGGTCAGCAGGTCGGAGAGGTAGGACGGGGCAAGGCCATGGAGGGCCTTGAAGGTGAGGACAAGAATTTTCGATCTTCTGAGGGATGGGGAGCCACTAGAGTCGGCCGAGGGTGTGTGTGATGGGGTCACGGAGCCTGGTGTGGGAGAGGACATGAGCTGCAGAGTTCAGGATGATCTGCAGCTTGTGGAAGGAAGAGTTGGAGAGGCCAACAAACAGAGTGTTGGCATAGTCGAGCCAGGATGTAATGAAGGCATGTATGAGGGTTTTGGCAGCCTGAGGAGTGAGGCAATGGCGGAGTCGGGCAATGTTGCGGAGGTGGGGGAAGGCAGAGTGGGTCATGGCGCGGATGTCGGGGAGAAAGGATAGTTGAGGGTCAAGCAAGATGCCCAGGTTCCTGACTGGCTTGGTGAAGTGGAGTGTGCATCCATGGATGCTGATGCTGCCAATGCCTGAGGTGGGGAGATATTGGTCCGAGCCAATCAGGAGGGACTCGGTCTTGCAGACGTTCAACTGTAGAAAGTTGGCTCTCATCCAGGACTTGATGTCAGACAAACAGTCTGTCAGGACATTAGTGGTCCTGAGGTCGAAGGTGGAGGCAGAGAGATAGAGTTGGGTGTCGTCCGCGTACATGTGGAAGTTGACCCCATGCTGCGGATGATGTAACCAAGAGGGAGCAGGTTGAAGAGGAGAGGACCGAGGACAAAGCCTTGACGGACACCACAAGAGACGGTGTGGGGGTTGGAGGAGAAGCTGTTTGTGGAACTGTTTGTCCTATAACACAGAATTATAGGATAAAAAATTCTTCTCTTTTTTGGCTAGGAGTTCAACCAGAAACAAGACTGGGTAATCTAAATCCAATTGCTGATGGGATCACAGCACGAAACTGCTCAACATTTAGCAGAAGCTGTTTGTACTCAATTTGCAACAGATTATAAGAAGCTTTAATCTGCATTTTATCTGTGCTACACCTGACCTGTTAAATGCGCAAAACTAGCATGGTATGTTTTTTTACCAGAGAAAAAATGTTCTATTTTCCAGAACTGAAATCCTTGACCCAGAGGGCAAAACATCGACCTAAAAATATTTTTTTTGCAGTAAAAATTAAGCACAGTAATCTGATGCCTCAAGATCTGGAGTCCTGTAGCTCAGTGGTTAGAGCACTCGCTTTGCAAGCGAGAGACCTGAGTTCAATTCCAGGCAGGTCAGGGCGAAACCTTGGGCAAGTTTCCTTACTCCAAACGCCTAATAATAATCCCTCCAAAAACAAAAAACAATAATAAATTGGTTATTTTCAATCTACGACTATTTGTGGGACACTGCTGTGCGCAATTGGCTGCCGCGTTCGCCCACAAATATACAGTCAATTCACTTTACAGTATATTCCGTGAAGCGCTTTGGGACGTCCTCCCGACGTGAAAAGCGCTATATCAAATGCAAGGATTATTATTATTATTATTATTATCTGCTGTCTGAAAGAAAACAGTAGAAAACTACAAAAATACAGAAAAATGTATATTGTGGAATTTCTCTGCTCAATAAGGCTTTAAATCATTCCCCGATCACCCCAGTCCTTGCCAGACTGCACTGGCTGCCTATCCCAGAGAGGATCGACTTCAAGATCCTCACCCTTGTATTCAAGTCCCTGCACTCCTCTGCACCCCCTACCTCTCTGACCTTCTCTCTCCTCAAAATAGTGCCCGTTGCTTTCATTCCTCCTGGTCTGACCTCCTCCTCATCACCCGAGTCCTCCACTCCACCCTCGGCAGCTGTGCCTTCAGCCACTACGCCCCGAGGCTCTGGAATTCCCTTCCTCACTCCCTTCACCTCGCTCCCTCTCTTCCTATTTTCAGATCCCTGCTGAAGACCTTTCTTTTCGACCGTGCCTTTGGTCACCTTCCTCCCCCTCCCCCTGGCTCGGCACCGGGATCCGTTACTGTGAAGCGCTCTGAGATGCCATCCATCGTGGAGGGCGCTATATAAATCCAAGTTGTTGTTGTTGTTAATATTGTAGTTACTCACTCATTCAGTTGGTTCTCATTTTCCACAGATGGCTCATGGTAGTGAATTACAGTCCCATCTTCAGATAACTGCAAATTTGGCGGAACTGTCTCTTTATTGAGGTGAAATCGAGTTCCTATTGGAATGATAAATAATTGGAAAAATAATTGTTAAAAACAGCTTATTCCTCATAAATCTTTAATGCACAGATACTCTGTGATCCCTAAATGTATTGCAGTAAAACTGGAGACTATCCAGAGGATGTTACAAAGAACCTTGGTCAGCCAGGTGTCTAACACACATGGAAACCCACCACCAAATATGTACGTCACCTACACATGGAAATTCCATGTATCTGGAATGTGCACTCTTCTCGGAGCAACACATCTGTTTACCTAAGGCTTAGGGATCCCAAAGTGTGTCTTGAGGCACCACTGGAATTTAACGACCCAATGGATGGCTATATTTTAGTAAAAGAAGCCAGCCAGTCTGTTCCAGTTTCAAACATCTCTTAATTTGGCATGCACAATAATTCATTTTACATGGTAATGGAAAGAAATCTTTTCTTTTCTAATAGTTTTATTTGAATCACATTTGAAATGAACAAATTAAGTGCAGAAGATTATTTCCACTGTGAAAAGCAGATTCCTTCATCCTGCTGTAGTGAGAACAATATATGAATTATTGCTTAATTTGCCTTTAGATAGAACATTATTTTTATTGTATCATTTTACTTTAAATTTATTTAGATAATAACCTTAAGCCATTAGCGAAATATGGTGACAAAGAACAAACTGACAGGGAAATTCAGTGATTACAGATTTTGCCTACAAATGATATAACATTGTGTTAGAATAGATGCCTACTTTTTGTTGAGATCAGTGCTGGTCTGCTCTTGTCACTTGACCCAATATCGTTCACAGCAGTGATGTAGAACAGAAAGTCCTCTTGTGGCTGCAGCTTGACCGTCTGTTCACACCCTCGTATTCCGGATACAGATCTACAAGAAAAAAAGCTGATTTAATAGAGTCCCAAGTAGGAGCTGTGGTGCAGTTTGCACGAGTGTTAGGTACACTCATGGTCTCAAGACCCTCCTCTTCAACCATGCCTTTGGCTATTCTCCTGTTTTCTCTGCTCTCCACCCCCCCACCCGGGTCCAAACTCCATTTCTGTCAGGGTCCTCTCGACGTGAAAGGTGCTATACAAATGTAACCGCATTGTATAGGAAAGAACACCAGGAACTTGCTAGGAAAAAAGGCTCTTTGTTTTCCATTGCCAGCTAAGGATTGACAATTTAATAATATTAATAATAATCCTTGCATTTGATATAGCGCTTTTCACATCTTTTAGACGTCTCAAAACTCTTCACAGAATATACTGTAAAGTGAATTGACTGTATATTTGTGGGCAAAACGCAGCAGCCAATTACGCACAGCAGTGTCCCACAAACAGTCGAGGATTGAAGTGACCAATTTTTTTTTTTTAAGGATTATTTTTAGCTCTCAGTCTAGGCACCAAGTTATCGGCTACAATTCCTAACCGATCAATGATCCATTTGATATCCAGTGTTGAGTCAGGCTTCTAAATGTCGTCACACTCATACTCATAGATGCATAGGGATTAAGGACGAGGACACTGTTTCCACTTATTACTATGCTACAACAACAACAAAATTACATTTGTAAACCGCCCTTCATGCCCAAGGAGCTGAACAGTCAGAGATTAGGACCCGAGCGTGGGGGGGCAGGGTTGGGATGAGGGAGGGCAGAGAGGTAGGATGGCAGCTAAAAGCACGCTCGAACAGGAGGGTCTTGAGTTGTGCCTTGAAGGAGGCAAAGGAGGGAGCAAGGCAAAAGGATTGTGGGATGGAGTTCCAGAGGGTTGGGGCAGAGAGCCTGAAAACCCGGCTGCCGATGGTACTTTGGTTCGGGCAGGAGACCTGGAGCAGGCCGGAGCATGCTAAATGGAGGGAGCGGACAGGTTGCGAGGGGGTCATCAGTTCAGAGATGTAGGAGGGGGTAAGGCCGTGGAGAGCCTTGAACGTGAGGATGAGGATTTTGAATTCTATCCTCTGAGGGATGGGGAGCCAGTGGAGCCTGGTGAGGGTGGGGGTGGCAGCCTGAGGGGTGAGGCAGTGGCGGAATCAGGCAATGTTGCAGAGGTGGGGGAAGGCAGAGCGAATCATGGCTCGGATATGGGTGAGAAAGGACAGTTGAGGGTCGAACAAATTGCCCAGATTCCTGACTGGCTTAGTGAGGTGGAGTTTGCAACCGTGGATGCTGATGCTGCCAGTGCCTGAGGTGCGGAAGCGCTGGTGTGAGCCAATTAGGAGAGCCTCAGTCTTGCTGACATTCAGCTGTAGAAAGTTGGCTCTCATCCAGGACTTGATGTCAGATGTCAGGATGTCAGTTGTCCTGGAATAACTAATAATAAGATTCCACCCCCAGCCCCACACAATGAAAATGATTTACGTTTACAACTCATTCTAAAAAGTAACATGATCACGTTAAACAAGCGTTAAACAAAAAAGAAACACGTGACTGACCTGAAGGTTGATCTTCGCAAATCGCTTTGTCTGTGGAACTCAAGAGTAAAGATGTCAACGTCATCGAGATCTGCAGAGCTCCAGCGGATGGTGGCAGAATCCCAGCACACAGAGCATTCCTCTGGATTAAGAACAGGTGCTGAAGGCACTGTGGGAAACACAGACAGCAGATAGTGAGCTTTACTGTAGATGGTGACTTTTACTCACTATTTACAGTTGGTACTTGGACTCTGCATTATTTCTACCATAAAACTGATCCAATTTAAACATTTGTTTCAGGAGACGTAGATGACTTCATGGTTGTTTTTTAAATAAATTGGCTGTCAATGTAATGTATTTAGATTGATGCTAGTAGGTAGATTCCCTTGCTACTGTCTCCTACAACTGGATTACACTTACCAGTCCTGACCGTCACCTTTTCACTAGGTAAACTGCACCCTGAAAAGTTCACAGCCATCACCCAGACAAGATAGCGTCTGCTTGGATCCAGGTTGTCCAACGTGCAGTAACTTTCTTTCACGGCCATTCTGTATTCATCACTTACACCTCCTTTAAAATGAAAGTGTCATTTATTAGACTCATGCATTCCACAGCAGTATGGATTTATACCCAGTTCTCCAAAATATTACCCAGTTACTATTTCTGCTGTGATATTTTTGTAATGTTTCGCCCTCTCATTCTTTCCTGAAGATGCTCATGCTGGGGTATAGGTCCAAATGGTGTTAGTTTCCCTCTAATATTTCCCCAAATGGCCATTGTTCAGGTGTGAACTGAAGCAGTGATTATCAACTGTTGGAGGCATCATTGCTGAGCCTGATCTGATACCATGCTTTCCAGCAGCAATCAATAATTAATGATTAGAGCAAGAATCCTGCTTAATTCTCTGTAACATCCTTTATCAATGAACTCAGAACAAATTTGGAATTGAACCTTCGACTTTTCAGGTCTGTTATGCCGAGCTGTACTGTAGTCTTTTACAAGTGCTATTATACGTCTCAAAGACGTGATAAGGCATTATATTCAAATTCAAGGATTATTATTGTTATTATTATAAACCAGAGACTAGGAGCTTCTGCCTTTATTCAGAATTACCCAACACAGAATTCTATAAAAACATTTTACACTGAATGTGCATGAAAAAGCCCAGGAAAAAAGTAATGCTAACATTACCACTGTTGGAAAATATAATTAAAGGAATTTCAGGAACTATTTATTTTTAATAGTTACATTAAAAAAACTGATAATAAAAACTAAAGTGAAAATGGACCAAAATGATCAATTGAAAAATTTAAATCACAAAATACTTTGCTGCATTTCATTTCTGAGGCTATGTTTAAGTAAACTGGGGGAAACTTTTAAAACAAATAATTTACTTTTACGTAACTGAGGCATGAAAGCTGAATCTGTTTTGGCAGATAAGAAACTAGAATTAATAATGTGTGAAAAATGGCAGCATTCATTTACAGTTAATTGTTTCTCAAAACTTGCAAGTAAATAAACCCGAAGAATAAACCACAATAACCACAACTGGAATTAGGAGTGTTTGCTGGAAGACCCTTACCACTATGCTCTTTGCTTCCCTCAGACTCATCCACACTGTACACCTGGAAATAGTCAATGACGTCATCCTCACCGACCTTCCAATACACTGTCACTGTTGTGCTTGTTGCAGAGTTTGGCTCTTGAGGCAGAACTGTTGGAGACTGAGGAACTGAATGAGAAAGAATATTTGTACGAAAAGGAAAACATTTATGGTGACAAGAAAGCATCCTGAACCATGGACAAACAATAAAATCTGTTTTAATTCCACCCACAGTGCACTAAACAACAACAACAAACAATATTAAATTGCATTTATACAGCGCCTTTCAGATCAGGCATCCCAAGGTGCTGGACAGTCCAAGGATTGCATCTGAGCTGGGGGTAGGGGTGAAGGGAGGATGGGGTGGGGGAAGAATAATCAAAGGTGCGGTCAAAGACGAGGGTCTTGAGACAAACCTTGAAGAAGGTGAGAGAAGGGCCGAGTTGAAGTGACTCCGGGATGGAATTCCAGAGAGTGGGGACAGAAAGGCTGAAGGCCTGATTGCTGATGGTGGGACGGGAAGGGCGGGACGTGAAGCAGGCTGAGTGGAGGGAACTGATGGATTGGTAGGGTTTTAAGAGGTCATAGAGGTAAGATGGGCCAAGTCTGTGGAGTAACGTGAAGATGAGGATCTTGAACGCAATCCTCTGGGGGATGGGGAGCCAGTGGAGCCAGGTATAGAGCATAGTGCAGAAGAGGACACGAGCTGCAGAATCTTGGATAGTCTGCAGCCTGTGGAGAGAAGAGTTGGGACATCTGGCAAGCAGATAATTGGTATAGTCAAGCTTGAACGTGATAAAAGCACGGATAAGGGTGTAAGCTACGTGACAAAGCATATAAGTAAAGGATAAGTTACATGAAATCATGTTAATGCCTCAAAAACCTTAGCAATCCATGAGCAACCTAAATGAGATACTGTAATACAGAATGATGTCAGAGTTCAAATGACTGTCAAACTGAGGGAGCTCTTGTTCACACCACTATCATTTAGATCACTGGTTTGGTCTGTTAGTTCCACTTCACACAGCGGGACTCTCAGATCTTTTGGATCAATCAACAGGAAACATTTAGTTCATTGCTTAGATAACATCTATTTATACTGTAGGAGCTCAGTTACCAGGCACCTTGGAGTTGGAAGGGTCCTCAACCATAATATAACATAATAATAATAACTGGCTGTCTATACACACATATATAAAAATACAGCAGAAATAATGGAAACAATTATTTCTTCAAAATATGTTTTCAGATGTAGATCTTGAGATGTAACTAGAACTTGATCAGTTTTGCTTATTGCTTGAGATTAAGATTTACAATGTGGAATTCACAAACTAGAAGTCACCGTGCCAATAAAGCTTTAAGTTTTTCAACTAAACTTGTCTGGTTTCGATCCAAACTTGGCTTTTAAAAATGTAATCTAGGCCAATATAGACTGTTTTTATTTAGTTTCTGACCTCCTGTGAGATTTTTTAGCCTTTTGTCAAATGAAAATTCACTTGGAAGGCAAAATGCCGGCAAGGTAGGCAAACTCAAAGTCGAAGGGAAGAAAAGGAGCATTAAAGTCGACAGAGGATCAAAAAGCAAAGAAGATTCACAAAAGGTCCTTCCTGCCCTTTGAGATTTTTAAATGAACGTGAAAGAAAATTATACAATTTCAGTCGCAAACCAAAGTCACAATTAGCACAGAATTTTCAACCACCTTCTTTGGGAAGCTTCAGTGAATGTTCAATGATCGAAACCAAGGAGGTCCAACCTTTTGGCTGCCGCAGGCCGGATTCCCTATTTAACAAAGGTCCACGAGCCACATCCAGCGTGAGCCAGCTGGCGGCCCATGGGCCACATCCGGCCCAAACCGGTGATTTTATCCAGCCCAAGACCATTTCCAACATTCCAGGAGCTGTTGGTTGGGAGGATGCAGTGGGAAGAGGGAAAATAATACTGTCCATTAGTGCAGTCTGTCAGGAAGGCCAGAGCATCTCTAATCAACTGCACATCCTTAGCAACTTAGTCCTATCACTGGAGATAGTAACCAGTGGCTGATTGAGAGAGAGAGATTGAGAGAGGGGAGGTGGAGAGAGTGGAGTTGGAGAGAACGGGGACAGATAGTGGAGATAGAGGGGGAGGAGGGGGACAGAGAGGGGGAGGGGGACACTCCTCTCTCTTGCATACACACTCTCTCTCAATTACTCTCTCACTCCACTTCTCACACTATCTCTTCCCTCTCGCACTCCATCTCCCCCCTCTCAACCACTCTTACCCCCCCTTGCCTCCTCTCATACCTTCCTTCAATTACTCTCTCTCACTCCCCTTCTCTCTCACATTCTCTCTACCCCCTCTCAAACTCTCTCTCAATCAATCACCCTCTCTCAATCTCCCCCTTTCTCTGTTTCTCTCCCCTTCTCCCTCACACTCTCTCTGCTATCTCCATCCCTATCTCACAGTATCTCTCTCTCACTCCTCCTTCCTTAACTCTCTCATACATGTACTCTCTCTCCCCCTTTCTCTGTTCCTCTCCCCCTTCTCCCTCACATTCACTCTCTCCTCCTCACACACACTATCTCTCTCTCTCTCACACTATCCCACTTTCTCAATCTCTCTCTGCTCTCTCCCTCTCAAAAAGTCTCTGTTTCTCACTACTCCTTTCTTATTTCTCTCACACATACTCCCCCATCTCTCTCTCTCCCTCTCTCTGTCTCTCTCTCTCTCTCACACAATTAGCCATGTGACAATCACTAGCGTCAGGACTAAGTTGCTCAGGACACGGTTGGTAAGAGATGCGCTTGTCTTGTCTTCCTGGCAGACTTCAGCAATTTGCCGGTATTATTTCCACTCTCCATGCTGCGTCCTCCCAACCGCCAGCTCCTGCCGCCGGCCTGGGAGGATGTTCACCAGGGAGGGAAGGAGGGAGGGAATGGATGTTGGAATGGTCACAGGAAGCGTAAAATCACCGGCCAGGCCACTTGTTGGGCCCACACTGATCTAAACCAATTCCTTTTCCTTATCCGTGACTACAACAAACAAACAACAACAACTTTGCGCAGCACCCTTCACGTAAGATAATATCTCACAGTGCTTTACAGTGACAGGTCAGACACTGATTCCGATACCACAGATAGAATTGTGCATTGAATATACATCTTTATGATTTCAAATGCTCTCATTCTTAATTATATTACGTATCAGATACCACTCCCTATACCACTGCTTATCGGTCTAGATCTTCTTGGATGCTGTTTAAGCCTCCTTTTAGATTAGCTGCTGCATTCGTCTGCAAAACACACTTTACAGAATATCTGCTGAAGCACATTGAGATCTCCTCCCAACGTAAAAGGCATAAATCAAATAAGGATTTATTATTATTACTATGATGATGATGATGATGATAGGGTGCAGTCATTTTCCCACATGGTATTTGTATTTTCAAATTTCAATAATATTACAATAACTAATCTCCAAGACATTCACTGATACTGCAAACAACCAAGGAACTAGAAGAAAAAGCTGTAGTGCCCATTGCTCACACAGAGGTTTTCCAATCATCATGACCTTTGGTTTCCCATTTCAATCTGTTTTGCTAATGTGAAATTAATTCCACAAGTTTTAATCTGCTATAATATCCTTGCATGAAAAACTTAATAAAACTTTTTCTTAAAGCCCAAGAAACCCTCACTGAATGGATAACCCTCATTCAATAGTTTAGTTATTCAGAAGGCTCATTCTGACTTGTCCTTGATGCCTCTGTGCTCTTCAGCTGAATATTGATCGCAAACGTTTTTATGCATTTCCCCCCACTGCAGATGCTAGACAAATGGCCAATAATTTTGATGTTCAAGGCAAAGTTACTTATTTAAAAAACACAAAAGCACATTGATTTTCTTGAAGCTATTCACTTTAACATGTAAAAAAACACAAGTAAATACAGTATTCCATAATATTGCCTCTTCACAAATGGACTGGATAGCGTTTACCTATGATGTTCCGTAAGACAATTTATGCATTCATAACTGAAGGCAGTGTTATTCCCACTGCGATCTGGTCTCAGAAGACAACAGATGGTATCATTAGTACAACCACGCAGAGCAGACACAGGCTCCAGGAAGTGGCAGTGATGCAAATATGATAAATAAGGCAGTAAGCTCAAACACAATAAAATAATTACACGTGGCTGCAGATTGCTGACAGTACTAGAGGAATTAAAGGCATCCTTTTAGTTTACACAAAATTGTATCCTGTGGCATATTTCTTATAATGTGTGAGAAAGAACATTTCATAAATTATTGTTCATGGATATATGAATGCAGTTTCCTGTGAGAGGTAAAGTTGCAGTATTGCTTTCCAGTGAACAATCCAATGCTTCCTTTTGTTCCTGTGCCCAATATTGTAATTTATTTTCTCACCTCCTTATTTATATCCATCTTACTGGAATGGATATCATTACAATGTCACTGAATAATCATTAAAAGGTAATGTTCATACCAGATAATTGTTTTTGTGACTCATATCCAGGTCTTGCAGACTGGACTGTGAGATCCTCAAAAGATGAGCACCAGGTTGGCTTCGGATCCAGAGAAATTGCAACTTCTAATGCAGAAATCACGCTGTGGAAATGGATAGCAAAAGATCAGTTACTCCAATTGTTCCAATTTGAACTCTTTAGCTGTCTCAATGGTTCAAACTACCACTTATCTTAACTTAGAAACAAAGTGCGAAGTTTGTGATACTCAAAGGTGGCAGGTAGCCAGAGGGGGCTTAGCCCCCAAATCTATCTACAGCTCACCACTTTAAGGGTAACTGGGAGGGGAAAGCCCATTGACAGTCCTCAGAGCAGCCCCAACCCACGGCACCCACATATCCCTCTCCCAACTCTGCTCACCCACTTCCAGTCCTCACTTCTGATTGACTAATGGACCTGTCAGTAAAGCCAATGGCTCACTGTCTTAAAGCGGATCGACTCTTTAGTTGAGTTTTACTCAGTCTCTCCCCCAAGAATATTTTCACCCGCCATCTATGGTGACATTACTGTGTTTCTCTGATCTGCTCACCTGCTACCCAGGTGCCGCTTTCTATTCCCCAGTGATCTTTGCTCAGGACATTGAAATGTTTCAATGGGCATCTCTTTCAAGGGCATCAAAAATGTACATTTGAATCGTGTAGGAATAGATCTAATGTGGTAATTTCCTCCTACTCACTGATGATTCATTAAGATTAATGAAACATTGGAGGAGAAAACCCCAAGTGTGACTGGAATGCAAAATCAGAAATCCGAGTCTGGAATGCAATACTTTGTTTCCCTATCTCCCAAATTAGGTTACTTGCCCACCTATTCAACCGCCTCCATGCATCATATTATTTCCCAATTAAAAGTGTAGGCAGGCAGTGTAGACCTCTGCCTATATAGGTATTGAACTAGATATAAGGAGAGGTCTGAGCAGAGTGTTTCTCTCCCAGGGAAAGCACTCTGCCTATTTCTCCTGCTCTGCGTGTTCAATCTCTGAACACGATTTTACCTTTGAGGATGTGCTGAGAAAATAACCTGGGTAAAAAAATCACTGATGTCAGCTGCTTTGCCACAGAGTGCTTATACTCCGTGCTTTACCATTTAGAAGATTAGCAATCATCTTTAATTGTTGCGAGTGTGACAAAAGCATTAGACATGTGGTTCAGCAATTCCATTCTTGCTCAGTCTTTCATATATTTAACGTATGCCAAACAAAAACCATGTACTCCTGAAAAAGTTAATGGCTTGAAACAAAATAATACAATGGTTAGAGCTATGGAACCGCATTTTAAGAAAACAATAATTAAAATATTCTATCGTGACATGCCCAAAATGAAGTCAATTAACTTATTGTTGATCAAAAATTCCCCTTGTTATGTTTTTGGCGACGTGTGATTACAATGGGGGAAATCCCAATAGCTGTCAATATCACCAAAGATTCTTTGTTAATGCCGATTGAAATTTCAGCTCACAAGTTGTTAAATCCTCAACAGAAATTTACTTATGGGAGACAATTCCATATGGCAAGCATGTTGTATTCTCCCTTTGATTAAGTATATGCCAATAACGTCTCAACATTGGCACCTGTTTAAAGTGCCTACCTACTGCCAATCTTAATGTCAATTAGCTGCAGTTGCAGCAGTACCTAAGAAATCAAGTTCAAAAGGTAGACATTGTGGTCAAAAATTAGCCTCTATAAATCAGCAGTGTTTCCATTGTAAATGTGTGGGGAATATATTAGCTCATGAACAAATGCTCTTTTTAAGGGCATGGTCTCAGTAACATAGTGAGCATTAACTGGCATCTACTGTATAAGTAGATGCAATGGCACGATTTGCAAGAATATTACCATTTTTAGAACAGGCTTCACAGCTGCATTTTGTTTTATTATTTAATTTCTGGCATTCACATGAGTTTTCTTATGCCATCAAAATATCCCAGATGTTATTCCAACACACGCACATTGAAAAATGGTTGAGAAATCATTCAACTTATCAGCCCAGGTGCATACCCCTGTCAAGTCAAGACTGCAGTATAGAAATAAAGTTGGGAGACCCTCAAATCCCAGAATGATGTGTTACATGAAAATACATTACTTCAATAACCCTTAAAAGCTTGTATTAAGGAAGTTTGACTTCAATACTTTGTATCAATAAGATACATATTGTTCTAAACCTCCACATTCAAAAGATAACATAAAGCCAGCATTGCACAATGCCTTAAACATAACAAAATATTCAAGTGTCATAAACATCAATAAATGCAAACTTACAATAATACTGACCAAAGGACATGAGCTAAATCACTGAGAAAGAACGCAGAGTGGAATCAAGGCAGATGTACTACATATTGGAGTCAATTGTGTATTGATTGCTAAAGATCACGATTAATTACAAGATAAGATTCAGATGAAGAATGCCCTTTGAACCATTTGACCTCATCCTTCCTTCTGTCAACCCATCGCCTTTCCATAGCATAAAACTTGTTCAAATGGGGCAGTGTCCTCCTCTCTACCACCTTTATTCTAGCTGTTGATTAGCCTTGTGTAAAGATATACTTCCAGGTGCCTGGCTAATACCTCTTGGTCTTTTTATTTTTCTCCTTATAAATCCATGTGTCTCCTGCTCTTATTTCTTATAAGCAATACTTTGCATTTATCTGTATACAACTTTATTTACAATGTATCAGCCCAGGTGCATATCCTGTCAAACTCTCTTGAGCCTTTGATGCTACAGTTAAGGTAGGAAATCGATTCACAACATCGTCTGTCTACCCACTGTCAATTTGGGATGCCTCCTAACCTGAAAGCCTAAACCATATGAACTGAATTGGTTGCTACTTATTATTAGGCTATTTTCACATAGGTACTCTTCCATCTTGTTTCTGATGATTGATCCTGGTAGTTTTCCAACTCCTGAGGTCAAGTTAATGGATCTGTAGTTACCAGGTATGACTTGACCACCAGAATATTGTACACACGTTTGCTTGTTTCCACTTCAGCGTTTGCAATGAAATTCTCCAAGTAACAAAAAGATTATCAAATGATAAAACCCAAATGAATATTTCAAATTATCAGCCAACAAAACTTTCCATAATATTACTTTCAGCTAGCACAGGCACAAACAGAAAAACAATGCAAAATCAAACATGTGGCTTTGACATAGAATTACAAAGATACTGCAGCATGGAAACAGGTCAATGGCCCAACCAGTCTGTGATGGTGCATATACTCCACATGTGGCTCCATAATCCTAGCACAGAATGTTGAGGGAGGGGGAATAGCAAGAGTGGATTAAGAGGGGTGGAGGCATATGTAGAGTATAAACATCAGCTCAGACTATTTGGGCCAAATGGCTTGTTTGCATGCTGTACAGTTACGTAATTCTATGTAGCTACCAGTCTCGGACAGGTCCAGGCTACATGTTGGTTTCACTGTGCAACTGCCTGGCTTAGTAGGAAAAAACACTATACCAGTGAAATACTGGCCAGATAGCAACTTCACTGGGAAAAGATGGTTGATTAAGAACTGTCTAAAATACACAATGGAGACAGGTTGGGCTTTGTTTTTTTTAAAAGTGTGCTTGGAGGCCAAACTGAGAATTACTAAATCGGGCCCAAGTCAGTAAAATGGCATTCATCAGGCTAGTGCCAATTACTATTGAAATCCAATTCTTATTTGTTCCAAAATGCCACACATCAATAAAGTTTTCAATTCTAATCAATGCAAAAGACCAGGTAGAACATGTGTAGGGATATACTTCAGCGCCAACTTGCAAATATGATTGATCTCAAACCAGCTACATGGTTTACTGTGTATCCACCAGTGACACCTGCTTGGCAGTAGCAATGGTTCCCTTTGTGTCTGCCAATTGACTATGTTTCAGAAGTCACGAATGGAGTTGTTTGTTCAATGTGCTTTCAATGTATCGTACTTAATGCTATAATGGCATCAGAAGTGGCACAGTTGCAAAAGTGGTTATTTGTGGTTGTAAGCCTGAATATATTTTCATATTTTCAGAAATAAATAATAATTTGGTCAATCCATGACTGTTTGTGGGACACTGTTGTGAGCAATTGGCTGCCGCATTTCGTCCACAAAATACACAGTCACTACACTTTACAGTACATTCTGTGAAGCACAAAGACATGATAAGGCGCTATATAAAATGCAAGGATTATTATAAACTTAGTTTGAAACATGTAATAACACTTAATAATACATTGTGAACTTATTATTTAATGTTATAAATGTAAATATTACATTGGTACATCCTGCCGACGTGAAAGGTGCTATATAAATGCAATTTGATGTTGTTGAACTGAATTTACATTCAGTCCTATGTACCTTTACTTTTAAGTGTTTTCATGGCCTTGCACAACCTATCTCAGCGATCTTCTGCACTCCTACCTCCCCTCCCCCTCCCCTCACTCCATCATCTCTGCCTACTTCATGCCTCCTGTCCCCATCAGTGGTGAGGATCACTGATCATTACACTCATGTTCAAATTCCTTCACTCTCTGGCACACCCCTACCTCTCTGACCCCCCCCCCCCCCACCTCTCCAACCACCCCCCAGCTCGGAGTCAGGCTCCGCCACTGTTAAGCATTCTGAGACACTGCCCTGCGTGGAGGGCACTCTATAAATGCAAGTTGGTGATGGTGGTGAGCTTTTGGATACTTTTCTCACGCCCTCTGGAACTCTCTTACAAAAAACATCTAAACACCTCTCTCTTTAACTACACTTTTGGGCCAAATCCTCCTCCTTTACTTTCATTACTATTATTAATATTATTATTTATTATTAAATATTATTATTAGATATTATTTCCATAACTACTTTCCAGCATGGGCTCCAGCTCAGTCATTGTATAATACTTTGAGACCTTCTTCATACATGGAAAGCGCTATACACTGTAAATGCAAATTGTTGTTGTTGACGCATAGACTGTTATAGTCCAGACAGGATTAGTAGAGGATTAAAATGTTCTGGGCACAATCAATCAGAAAATGCAAGGCTGCTAAATAACTTGCTCCAGCCAAACTATTAATTGTGAAATTCATAAATGGAAAACATTCTTGATTAAAGCGAGTGCAGTTAGAAGCCAGGCTGAACATACCTGTCATTGATTGTCCTGAAGGACTGAGAATGAGGAGGAGAAAAGAGAGGTTAAACGACAGAAAAGTATCTTCATGCTGTCAACAGCAAACTGATAAGAATATTTCTCCAGGAGACTCGAATTTCACTTTCGTAAGCTTTTGAGCCAATCTGCCAAGAGGGTGTAAAATGCTTACACAGAAGACTTCATAGCAGTGACGCAAATAGATTTTGAGAATTAACTTATAATTAACAGTATTTTGTTCAAGCAATGACATTTTCTGCACTTTTCTTTTGATTAAGTTGTTGGAGAAAAAAACATTTTAAATAACCCAATAGGCAGATCCTTCTTGTTTGCTATTTGCTGAGAAATGTCATATTTTGCTCCATTCTAGGCATTGAAGAAAAGGTTTACATTACATAGAATTACATAATATGTAGACTGAACAGCTGCCATTGGGTGATTTGGTCCAATTAGTCCGTGTTGGGTGTTTACACTCCATATGACCCTTCACCCATCTTAATCCCCTATGCTATAGCTCTCTATTTCATTCCCCTTCACGTATGCACTAAATTTCCTCTTTAAATACATTGAGAAGTCCCATAGCATAATGGCTAGCAGCTCGCCTCTCAAGCAAGGGTACCCAGGTTTGATTTCCGAGCAAGTTTCCTTATTCCAACATGCCTCTGTTTACCTAGCAGTAAGTAGGAACCCGGTTGTTAGTTGATCGGCAGATCGCTTTCTGGGGGTAATAAACCCTCCAAAAAAAANCACCAAAAAAAATTGTCACTCAATCCATGATTGTTTGTGGGACATTGCTGTGTGCAATTGGCTGCCTCGATTTGCTCACAAAACACAATCAATCCACTTTACAACATATATTGTGAAGCGCTTTGAGATATCTCAACAACGTGATTAGGCTCTATATCAAATGCAAGGATTATTATTATGAATATTAATTGATGTTTTCTGCTGCAGTCTCAGCTTTCAGCAGTGAGTTTGATATTCTCACCATCCTCAGTCTAAGGAGGTTTCTTTGATCTGCTGGTGACTATCTTATATTTAGGCCTCTGTATTTCACAGCAAGTGAAAACAGCCAATTTATGTCCACCTTGTCAAAAACGTTCAACATTTTAAACACCTCTATATCAGGCCTCCTCTTAAACACTTCATCTCCTGAGAAAAAAAGTTCTTACCTGCCTAGTCTTTCTTCATAGCTGTATCAAATCATAAATTATAATTGTGTCAATTTCAAAATATGAAATTACTGGAAGTTTTTCAAGTCTTTCTAGGATAGCATTTTAGCATTCCAAATTACTTCCTTCAAAACAAACATGAGAAAATGAAGGTACAATCAAGGTAACTGTCCCTTTTAATACATGGTTTTCTTTCGTTTAGAAAGATCATTTAAGTTCAAGGTGTGATCATTGAATATTAAGGTGAAGAATATGTTCATAACGTAACTGGTTTCAATGCTAGACTAATCTGTGTTACAATAACGCTGTTACTCAAGAGCGTTTTTAATAATAGGTTCAAAAATTCTGGGGAAAATAGGTACAATTATATTCATAAAATCTGTTTTGCTATGAGTTCAAAACAAACACCTTTCAAATTGTTTAGACCGATTAATGAATGAATAATGAAGGGACAAGCGGAAATCCCAGCCAAAGAATTTAGAAGTTGAGTTTCTCAAAAGTTCAGCAAGTCTATATTTAGTTGTTTTGGTTTCCCAGTATACACCTCGATGCAATACTTAACTATAGAGAATATCAGGGTTGATCCTAGATCTGTGCTGTTAGCTGATTCCAGGCAGTATAGCAGAGGGGAAGTCTCAGATGGCTTTAGCACTCAAGATGAGGGAAGACAAAATTAGTCAGAATTCCATTTTCCATATCACTCTCCAGTGGTCTCTCTCTGCTAAGTAGTGCCTGCATGCATTGAAGGATGAGTCAGAGGAGAGTTTAGATGAGGATGGGATCAGGCCCAGTTCTGCTGCTCCCAATGGTCAAATAGCCTGCTGATCCACATTGTGCACATTAACACATGCAAATATCCACGTGGGTAGAAACTTCAAGAATATTAACGGTATTTAAGCAAAGCTAGTTGTTGGGATGGATGATAAGGAAGAGTTAAATTCCTAGATCTGGCATTGAATTTGATGAGCTTGGAAATTCAAGATGGACCAAAGAAAGACACATCAGCTGCTTTGCTCATATGCAATACAGTGATATAGAAAGTAATGCCAAAGATACCGGTTTATAATTAATCTCTTATGAGTTATGTATGATCTGACTACATTCGTAAAAGGGAAATCCAATGGATCAACAAGCAACTGTGTTACAAATTAATTAACAAAATGGTCTAGTGGTCATTAACTGTGCTTCAAAATGGTCTGATTAATAGATTAACTTCCTGTGTAAATTGGGGTCCAAATCCTGTCAAATTCAAACAAGATTCCTTAGTTAACGATTCTGGAAGTATGTCATGCTAACTTGCAGGAAATTGCTCGAATGTAATCTACTTTCAGACAGAGTTCACCACTACCTTTTCCTGGGGATGCTGAGACCCTCATCCATGCCTTCATCATGTCCAAGCTCGATTATTCCAACGCCTTGCTCACCGGTCTCCCCAGCTTCTCCCTACAAAAGCTGCAAACCATGTCCTCTATTGCAGCAGGCTCCACGAGACCATCACCCCAATCGTTCACTCTACTGGTTCTCCATCCCCCAGTAGGCCAAATTCGAGAAACTCGTCCTCACTGCCAAATGCCTCCATGGTTTTCCTCTATCCAATGTCCAGAGTTCACAGAGTTCACCGCTACCTTTTCCTGGGGATGCTTAGACCCTCATCCATGCCTTCATCATGTCCAAGCTCGATTATTCCAACGCCTTGTCACCGGTCTCCCCAGTTTCTCCCTACAAAAACTGCAAACCATGTCCTCTATTGCAGCAGGCTCCGCGAGACCATCACCCCAATCGTTCACTCTACTGGTTCTCCATCCCCCAGTGGGCCAAATTTGAGAAACTCATCCTCCTGCCAAATGCCTCCATGGTTTTCCTCTACCCAATGTCCTGCAACCCTACTTCCCTGGACATCCCTTCCTCTCAGCATGTCCCTGACCTGATTATGACTCTTGTGGACTGTAATGTACTTTTGTAAGAAAAATAATAAATCTTGAATTTTGATCAAAAAAAGTTTTCAAAGGGTTAAATATAGAGCCTCTGGATCATAGTGCTGTATAATATTATGTATCTATCTACAGAATGTAAAAGCGAGGAGGTGATGTTGAATTTGTACAAAACCTTAAAATCATCTTCGGAGAATTGTGTATCCAATTCTCTTCTCCACACTACAAGAAGGATATAGCAGCAACGGAAATAGTGTAGGTTTACAAGGATGATAGCAGGCCTGGCAGGTTACAGCTATTAGGATTAACTGGGTGCTTAGGCCTTTTCTTTGCTTGAGAAGAGACGTTTAAGAATGGACCTAATAGAGGTGTTTAAAATTATAAAAGAGTTTGATAAGGTTAGATCTTAGAATTTAGGAGGAACAACTTCACGCAGGGCGTAGAGATTGTGGAAGTATCTGCTCTGAAGTGGTGGTTGATTCAGAATGTGTAGGTGGATTCAAGAGAACACTACACCTTTATATGAAAGAGGGGACGAGAAGGGTATGGAAGGGAGTAAGGAATAGGTGGAGACTCTTATGGAATATAGACACCAGCATGGACTGGTTGGGCCGAATGGCCTGTTTCTGAGCTGTACATTCGTTGTGAGTGTTTGCAAATAGACCTTTGTATAAACATACCTGTAAGAAAGTTATGTCATCATTCTGAATACTCTCCTTTGTCTTCTCCACAGCTTCCTTTGCTGAATCAATGCTGCATCGATAATGAACCATCTGGTCATACAAATGCTCCAGTTTCACCTTCTTCTCCTCCTCCATGATCTGCGACATCTCTGTGTACTGTGCCAACAGCAGCTTCATCACCTCTTCGTGCTGTTCCTCAAGAAGCTTCGCCTCTTTGGTACAGTTCTCCTGGGATCATCAACAGAAAGAAAAACAACTCAAATCATTGAAGAACATCTCAGTTTCCACATTAACACAGATTTGTTTATGCACTCACACTCTCTCCTCCTCATTTGCCACCTGTTTGTTTTTCACATGTTTTTGTGATAATTGGGTAGGAATTCCAGTGGTAATATAAACATTGAGTTACTGTGTATTATTACCTTTTTAAAAATACAGTATATAGTGTGTCCAATTAATTTTTTCTCCCCATTAGCACTAAACTCTCTAATCCTTTTGCTAGTCTCCGCTTTTATAGTCATTGTTTGCTTAAGCAACCATGGTTCACCTGCCAGCCTTAATCATCCTTGCATTTGATTTACTTCCTCATCACGTCATTGAGACGTCTCAAAACGCTCCACAGAATATACTGTAAAGTGCAGTGGATGTATTTTTTGTGGGGCGAAACGCAGCAGCCAATTGTGCACAGTGAGTGTCGGCAAACCACTTGATTGTAGAGGGTATCACATCTCAGCCTGACCTCTCTTCATCCAGGTGACCCCCCCCCTCCCCACCCCCCCCCACACACACACAACCAGAGGGATAAGAAACCCTTGACTAGTTTTCCCTTCCCTAACCCTGAGAAGGCTGGGCCAATTTAGCTTTCTCATGAAGCCTCGGCTGAGGCCAGCAAACTTATCACATCTCCAGGACTGTAAGCCAGCGAACTCCTGGTCTGTAATGTGAAGCTTTATCCACCACACCCTTTGGGATGTCCATTTTTTGTCTTTTTTGATGAGGTTGTTGACATGTCAGGATTGTTGGACACTTCCAATGGGAAGGTGAGAGTCAATCAGGTGGAAGAGCACAAACTTCTCAAACACTATTTGAACCCTAGCAACCAGCAAAGGGGAAGACCTGTCTTGCTGCCAGAAATATAGAGCAGCTCTTTTCAGGGCCATTTTAGGCTGGAATGGCCATCTATTATAGAACCAATTGAAGGAAAAGAGAGGTAAGTAGACTAGCATTGTAGTAATTATTGAACTCAACATGCAAAATCTCAGCCGTGGATATGCAATGACCTACCTCAACAGCATTAAATACAGCTTCCAGCTCAGTTACAAGCTCCTTGATCTTAGCTGCTCTCTCCTGGGTTGCTGTTGCAAGTTCATCCAATTTATCCTGTAGGAAAGAGTTTAAAAAAAACATCATTGTAACAGTGTAATCCTGTAGAGACCCAGTAATTGTTCCAAACTTATACAATATGGATTGGTTAAAGACTATTGTTTGGTTGACCTATGCAATAGGAGAGCTCAGTTATACACTAGTCAGGATCACCTTTCACTATTCATTTGTTGGTCTAGAGGTAGATTTGGGTTTGAAAATCAATTTTCCTCTTGAGCATCACAAACTGTATGCTTTATCCCATTACTTTTGCTACCAACAGGGTGTCGGCAGTGGTAGCCTATTGCTTCTTAGAAGGTTGTAGGTTCTTGCCCCATTTTGAGACTTTGAATATCATAGAGTAACATTCTAGTGCACTGAATTGCTGAAATTGTCATCTTCTGACCTTACACCAAGGTCCCGTTTGCCTGTGGAGGTGGACATTAAAGATCCTATGGAACTATTCAAAAAAGAGAAGGGAGTTTCTCCCAGTGTCCCGGCCAAAAATCCCCCAAATAAAGTTAGTCATTCAATTCATGGCTGTTTCTTGGACATTGCTGTGTGCAAATTTTCTGTCGCATTTGCCTACAAAAAACACGGTTAATATACTTTATAGCTTATCCAGTGAAGTACTTTGAGGTGCCTTCCTGACATTAAAGATGCCATATCAAATAAAAAGATTTACTCTTCTATTACAATGTAATTTTTCTTTGGGAGATCCTAAGAATGCAAAATACAATGAATGAAAAAGGAGCTTTGTCCATTTAATCTCTTCTCACTACACTTACAGTATTTCCTGTGAAGCACTTTGAGACGCCCTCCCGACGTGAAAGGCGCTATACAAATGTAATTTTGTTGTTGTTGTTGTAAAATCAGTTTGATATTCAGCAGTTTAATACTCCTGCTAATAATAATCCTTGCATTTGATATAGCATATTTCAAGTCTTCTAGACATCTCAAAGTGCTTCACAGAATAGACTGTAAAGTGAATTGACTGTATATTTGTGGGCGAACCGTAGCATCCAATTGCGCACAGCAGTGTCCCACAAACAGTCGCGGATTGAAATGACCAATTTTATTATTATTGTTTTTATTGAGGGATTATTATCAGGCGTGTGGAGTAAGGAAACTTGCCCAAGGTTTCACCCCGCCGGGAATCGAACTCAAGTCTCTCGCTTGCAAAGCGTATACTCTAACCACTGAGCTACAGGACTGCTAAACCAAATCTAATGTCACTGGGGTTATTTTTATTTATAATCCTAAACCCACGCATGTAAAATATACTGTAGAGCAGAGTACAGTATAATACTTTGGTGAAAATAATGATGGTTTCAGACCAATGTGTTTTACCACTTTTTAAAAAAGATATTTTAAAATTACAACATTGTAACAGAAAAATGCTCAGGAAGAAAAGAAAATCAATTGGACCGAAGCAAGTCCACGTTCCCCTTATGAATATTTTCCTCCTGTTCATTTAGATGCTAACCCCCCCGTGACCCTGTGGCATGCCCTGTCTAAGATGGCAAGCTGCTGACCTGCTCAGATGTCTGTAACTGGTCACATGAGGTCAATGACAGCTGCCCATTCCTCCAATTTTTCCTCCTTATGTGGAAGCTCTTTACCTTCTCTTGATACCAATCCAAAAGCAGAAACTTTTCACTTGGGGAATGATCATGGGCACAAACTCACTCCCTACCATTTGGTGATGTCATGTTTATATTACGGTACCTTATTATGCTTAAACAAGCATTTCATTAAATAGAACTAAATATAGGTCGTTCGGCCTAAGTAGTCTATTCCAGTGTTTATACTCCTCACAACCTCCCACCCCTCCTATACCCCTCTATTCCCTTCTCGCTCATCTACGTATCAAGTTTCCTCTTATATATTTTGTTGCTTTTTTCTGCAACCACATTCAACAACAGCAACAACAACATTCCATTTATAGAGCGCCTTTCACGTCGGGAGGACGTCCCAAGGCGCTGTACAGTTGGGTCAGGACCCGAGCATTGGGGGGGAAATGGTCAGGGTGAGCGGAGGGAAGGGAGGGAGCGAGGAGGGGGTAGAGAGTCGAGAGGGGAGCTGAAGGCACGGTCAAAGAGAAGGGTCTTGAGACCGGCCTTGAAGGAGGAAAGGGAGGAGGCGGCGAAGGCACTGGGGATGGAGTTCCAGAGCCTCGGGGCTGAGAGGCTGAAGGCCCGGCCACCGATGGTAGGGCGGTTGGGGCGGGGGACGTGGAGCAGACCAGAGCCAGAGGAACGGAGGGTACGGACAGGTAAGTAGGGGGATAGTAGGTCGGAGAGGTAGGATGGAGCAAGGCCGTGAATGGCCTTGTAGGTGAGGATGAGGATCTTGAATTTGATCCTCTGGGGGATGGGGAGCCAGTGGAGGCGAGTGAGGGTGGGAGTGATGTGGTCGCGAAGCCTGGTGCGGGACAGTACACGAGCTGCAGAGTTCTGAATGACCTGCAGCTTGTGGAGGGAGGTGCCGGGAAGGCCGGCGAGGAGAGAGTTCCCATAGTCCAGCCTTGAGGTGATAAAGGCGTGGACCAGAGTTTCAGCAGCGTGAGGAGTGAGGTAGTGCCGTAATCTGGCGATATTCCGGAGGTGATGGAAGGCGGTGCCAGTTGTGGTGCGGATATGAGGGAGAAAGGACAGCTCAGGGTCGAACAGAACCCCGAGGTTCCTGACTGTCTTTGAGAGGTGGAGAGTGCAGCCTTGGATGCTGATGCTGTCAGCGCCACATTCTTACTAACCTCTGTGGGAAGAAGTTCATCCTCAACTCTCTTTCAAATTATACTGATATCTACAGATCAGACCAAAAGTTTTCCTTTGATTAGAAACTTTAAATTTCGTATATAATATGCTCAATAATAATAATAAGATCCTTTGCATTTGATATAGCGGCTTTCACATTGGGAGGACGTCTCAAAGTGCATCACAGAATATACTGTAAAGTGTAATGACCATGCAATTTGTGTAAAGTATAATGAGCTGTCTATCCTAAGAAGTAAAGCCACACATCCCTTGTATAATGATTCTCCTCTCTATTCTCTCTATGACCTTGGCAGCCTCAGAAAAGGACACAGTACTGCAGGGTAGCCAAAGATTTGTACATATATAATAATCCTTGCATTTGATGTAGCGCATCATCGTGTCTTTGAGGTGGATCAGAGCGCTTCACAGAATAGACTATAAAGTGAATTGGTATATATATCATGGGTGAAACTCAGCAGCCAATTGTACACAGCAGTGTCCCACAGACAGTCGTGGATTGAGTGACCAAATTTTTATTACTTTTTTGGGATTATTACCCGTGGAAAAGTTGATCTGCCAATCGACTAACAACCAGGTTCCTACTTACTGCTAGGTAAACAGAGGCGTGTGGAGTAAGGAAACTTGCCCAACGTTTCGTCCTGGCCGGGAATCAAACCCAGGTCCTCTCACTTGCGAGGCAAGCGCTCAACCATTAAACTACAGGACTCCAGGTAATGGTCTCTTGTCATTATGTGAAATTGGAGCTACAGTTTAAACAGCATAAATTTAAACAGTAAAATAATACAAGAAACATTTGGACCGAGAGATTGATGCTTCTCACTCCTATTGTATTTCCTCCAAATCAAACCATTACTCTGTAGATCTTAATGCCCATGTGCCTTTCACAAAGTGTTGTGAAGATGTGAAACTCTCTTCCCCAGAATGTCCTAGAAGTGAAATCAATTGGGATGATTAAAAGATAGACAGACACTTGGGGGTCGAGGAATTAAAGCGTATGATGGAAGGGCGGGGCATTGGGATCAAAAAATCTGTGTACCTTTGCCTAATATTCTATAAATTTTTGATGCCTCTACACCCATCTGTTCTGCACATTGAGTTACCCTTCTTCTGCCTGGCTGACTGATGTGCCTTGTTAAAGCACTGCTTCTGCTCTCATGCCAAGAGAGGGATTGAAAGTACATATTTGAGAGGAGTCGCACAAACAGCAGCTTCTGGCAACTGGAAGTACATCATGCCAACCCGCTGGAGCCCGGCCCAAACCCAGTCTTCTTCCAGAGCAGAGCTGCTGGAGTTCAATGAGAAGTCTAATGGCATTCCCTATCAAGCATTCCAATTAAGAAATATCACAAATTAGGCTCATTATAAGAAGATATATCGTATTGGCTGATCAGGAAAAATAACGGGAGACCAACGGGGCAAGGTAGGAATTGGCAATAAAGTTTGTCTGTCCACCACATGCCTGAAGCATTTCAAGTGCTCACTTTCACCATCTGGATATTCAGGGCACTCTGATGCCAAGCCCTGATTATACTGTCACACAGTAATATTGGTGTTAAGAATATAAAAGGATTTTACGTATTTAAGCAATTATGTTTGAAACCAATGCTTAATGAGCAGGTGCTTACTGGATGTAAAGTGATACCCAATACAAAGATTGCAGATGGACAATCAAAGGCAACAGAAAGCAAATTGGATTCTCAAATTGGCTAAGTATTCTTCCCAACAATGTACTGCTAAAATTTGGCACATGCCCATTGTTAAGGAATAAGGTAAGCTAAAGAATTAGACACAAGCAAACTCTGAAGTTTTATGAATTTTCACGAACAAACATGACTGACAATACAACACACATACAGTATGTGTATTCATGTTTTCCCTCTCTCATTTGATCATTACTACAGGAAGGGTATTGTGCAGTGGAGAGTACCAGGGTGTTACCGGAGATGAGTGAATGCAGCTATCAAGAAAGATGGGAAAAGTTAGAGCTTTTCTCTCTGAAGATGAGATACTTGAGCAGGTACCTAATAGAGGTGATTACAATTATGAAAGGATTCAATAAGGTGGACATTAATAGGATGTTTCCACTTGTTGGGGAGTCCAAAAACAAGGGTATATAAGAGAGCTATTAATAGATCTAATTTAGGAGGAACGTATTTCTGTATTGGAGGTGAAAATGTGGAACTGACTGCTGGTAGCTGCGGTTCAAGCAAAAAGCATAAAAGTATTGAAGAGGAAAGTTGATGCATACATGAGGTAGAAGGGAATGCTCCATCTTGCTAACATCGTTCATTAACATGGAGCTAACTTCCACATGTATGCAGATGACACCCAAATCTACATTTCCACTTCTATCCTTCATTCCAAGTCTGTTCAGTCTGCTTGTTTAGAAGATAACAATCCTTGTTGAGACTCAATTTTTTTCCAGCTTAACATGGGCAAGCTGGAAGTCATCCATCTTCAGTTCCCACCAACATCGCCTTACTTACACATCTGACCTCCTCAACCTCTCCGATCTCCATCTTAAACCCACTGAACCAGTAGGGAACCTTGCCATTCGGTTCAAGCCTCAGTTCTCCTTTCTTTCCTGCATTTGTTTCCTGACTAAGAATGTTTTTCCTCACCTTCACCACGTTGCCCATCTCTACCCCATCTCACATTATATGCTGCTGAAACCCTCATTCACAACTTTGTGGTCTCCTGACTCAACTCAGTGCGTCAAAGACATTTAGTGTGAAATGGTTGTGCATTTAGAGACAAATGTAGCAGTCAATTTTGTAATTACAAGGTTCTGTAAACAGCCATGAAGTGAAAGACCAATTTTACCTGGACAATATTTGCCCACGACACTTGGAAAAATACACTTTTCTTTTGAAACAAACATGAGATCTTTAACATCCACTTGAGCAGCAGATAGGACCTCAGATTAACATTTAATCCTAAAGATGCCATATTGAACAACACAGTGCTCCGTACTGGAGTGCCAACGTGGACTTTGAGCTCAAAGTCCCAACTTTAGATTAGTATTAGTACTTCAAGGTGAGGGATGGTTTAGACATGATTTCTTTTCTTAAAAATACTTACCTTCATTTTTAACATGGCTGCATCGATCATTGTTACTTCATGGTCCTGATGCTCTCCAAAGAGCTTATCAATGGCAAAAATTGGAAACCCACAAGTAATACAAAAAGTATCCATTGGCTTTGGTGATTTCTCTAAGGTTAACACATCTGTATCTTCCTTTTCATTTATCTGGATATCTGTATTTTTTCTTTCTTCCACGGGAAGTTCCTGTAAGTCTTTATCTGCAAACTCCAGATCATAGTCAGGCACCGCCAACACATTTATATCTATTATTCTTGTGTCTTCCAACAAATATATCTCATCAGTGCCTTTCTTTACATCTTCAGCAAATAAATCTTGTGATATTCCTTCAGGGTATGTTTCACTGCCTTCTTCCATCTGATTCTGTACATTTTCTAATAGGTATTGCTGTTGCAAGGCATCCAATTCATCATCCACTGATTCACTGATTGTTCTATAATGAAAACCATGCTCTTTATAAGTGAATGCCTCCGTTTGGAATTGACACACGTCTCTTGAAATATACACTGAATCTTGTTCACATGATGTTATACCAGTGGGTGATTCATGTATTGGTACTTCCAGTACATCCCATTCACTTTCTAGAGCTTGTGCAATCTCATCGGTGAGGCTTTCTCCTTTTATTTCTTCATTAGTGGAGGGTGCTTGAATTCCTTTATAATCATCTGGCTCTGATGCAATCTTGTGATATGCTGTTATTTGGGGAAATGCTTCTTCTGTCATCTTTTCTTCCTCTTTACTTTCAAGGGGACAGGGTTCTTTCAGAAGATATTCATTATCCTTTATACAAATCATTTGAGCCTCTAGCAGTTCTATGTCACCTTTGTATGTTGCTTGCTCTGTGTCATTTCCAGGAGTCTGAACTGATTTTAACTGCAATTGTTGATTAACCAAAGCTATTTCTCCTTCTATAACCTTTTGAGAAACCCTTTGATCCATGCTAATAAATTGATCTACTCTTTGGCATTCATCAGTCACAGTCATTGGAACTGTTCTTTCAGTTGATTGATTATCATTGATTTCTTGATGCACCTGAGCTTCAGAGCTTATGAATTCCTCAGCCAGTTCACCTTCAGTTTCCTCCCCTACGTCTGTGGGAAGATGTTCAGCTTCATGAGTGCCTACAAATGCCACATCCTCAACACATAGATCCTTCTCCATTACATCAGCTTTAATCTGACAAACAGCTATTTCCTCACTGGGTGTATAATTCTGAATGTCTTCAACTTGCTCTGATGTTGGCATGTTGTACACTCCTTCGAATCCAACTTCACTTGGAGGTATCTCAGGTTCTTCAAATGAATCACTTAGAATAGTAGTATGTACAGAATCAAAGCGATTGCCAACAGGAGAGACAGGCTTTTGTATCTTACCTTCGACATATGGTGTTCTTTCACAAGCTCCAGCTTCACTTGGAGGTTTTTCTTGTTCTTCAAATTCGCTCAGAATTGTAATATGTGCAGGATCAAAATGATCTCCTCCAAAAGAGCCTGGCTTTAATACACTTGGGTCGACAAAAACTGTGTCTTCACAAAATCCAACTTCACCTCCAGGTTTCATAAGTTCTTGAAATAAATCAATTGGAATTGCAGTTTGTACAGAATCAACATGATCTCTAACAGAAGAGTCAGACTTTTGTACATCTACAGATGCCGTATCTTCAAATCGTACTATCTCTTTACTTATTTCATCATGAACTTTGTCTTCCATTGTCTGAATTGCTTCTTCTGACAGATCTTCACATTGTATGGGTTGAATCTCTGACAAAATGTGACTCGTCTCATTTTTAGCTGTTTCACATTTTTCGGCACACTCATCCAGTACCTCCGTTTCTTCAGAAACTCTCATTTGTGTGGGGAGTTCTGCTTTGTCAGTGTGTATTGCAGAAAACGTACTTGTATCCTTTGAAAATACAGTGTCTGCTTCTACATCAATAACATTATCCTGGGACAAAGCTTCCATCAAAGAAAATGATTCTTCTGTTTTCAACTCCCTCAACGACCCCGGAACATCATCCTTCAGAACATATTTTTCAAAGTATAATCCATTCCCATCGTCTGTGTCAGATGACTGACTCGGAAATAGCAGATCAGAATTATTACTTTCCTCATCAGACTGTCCATTGTCTTTTTCTTTTCGTCCCTTAGCTTCTTCGTAGAGGTCTTTGTAATAAAATGCTAATGCAGGTGGTTCCTCCAAAAGTGCCAGTTCAGCTAGTTTGGTTGATACAGGAAAATAATATGAACGTGACAGGACTCCTTCATCTGTGCTGAATAACAAGGAACCTTCTGGCTTCTCGCTCACAACATCTGCAGTATTTTTATTCTCGTCCCCTTCTTTATCACATGCTTCAGGCACATGTGTTTGTGCAAACTCATCTTCCATTGCAACAAAGGATCTGGGATTTTCTGACATGTCATACTCATCAAACATAAAAGTCTCTGTGTCGTCTGAAAATGAAATACTTTTGCTTTTTAGGTTCACTGGATTGTCCACTTGAGGGAAAGGGTTTCCTTCGACCTGAACTGGCACTTCCTGTGCTTTCAGTCCTGTCTTACCTAAGTCGACCTGCTCGTCCAGCAAAGTATATTTTTCAAAGTAATCATCATCGCTACTCCCATTTTTCGCTGTAGATGTTGGAACTTCTGTGGCAGAAGGATTGGACTCCCCCACATTGGAAGGATTGGATTCTCCCACATTAGAAGGATTCAATTTCCCCATATGGGAAGGATTGGAGTTTCCCACATTGGAAGGATTAGATTTCTGCACAGAAAATGGATTGGATCCAGCCTTAGAAGAAAGATTGGATTCCACAATGGTTGAAGGATTAGAATGGCTAACACTGAAAGGATCGGATATTCCCACAGTGAAAGGATTAGACTTCCACAAAGTTAAGGGATTTGCATTCCCTTCTGACTCATTATGTTTCGGCATGTTTGGTGGTATTAACTGTTGGCCATTACCTTCTCTATTAACATTACCTGCACATTCAAATTCATCCTCTATTTTGTTTTTGTCTATGAGTGGATTTTTCTGCAAATACATTAGGTTGTCCTGCATATTGCTACAAGCCTCTTGGTCCACAGAGTATAACTTGGGTGGAACAATGATATTCAAGATCTCATAGCCTTCAGCCACTATATTGAAGACATCTTTCTTACTTTTAGTATCTTTTTCATTACTTAATTCATTTACTATTGTCTCTGAATGCGACTGAGGTATAACTCCTGTTGTTCGATCAGCTGTGCTGAATGAGGAACCATTCTGGTCCACATCAACCACTTTTGAAGTTTCCACAGATTCTGCATGTTTCTGAGTTGTTGCTTCTTCATGCATAGGATTTGTCCCTAGAAACGAGTGACTCTTATTTGTAGTAATTTCTTGTCTTTCTGAAAAATGAGATGGAGCCACTTCTGTGTATCTTTCAACAGGTGCACTGAATGACAAATGGTTTAAATTTTCATCCATACCTTCTGTAATTTCACACATTTGGGATCCTGTAACTGTTTGGTTTATCTTTACAGAGGAATTGTTTTTACATTCTGGAGGCAATACCTCCATATCAGCTGCTGAATTCTTTAAATATTCACTGAGTGTTTTGGGATTCAAAGACCCATTGATTTCAGAGTTAGTGGCTGACGATCTCTCCAAACTGTCTGTTATTGTATAAATTATTCCATTGCCTGCTACTCCTTTGATTGGTGAACCAAATTTATTCATGTCTTTACAAGTTTTTCCTAAATGCAAAACTGGCACAGGAACAATGAACGATGAGCTGATGGTTGCTGAAAGATTTGGTTGCTCTTTGTCTGCTCGATCTGTCCTTGAATAAAACTGATCTTTGTTTAAACAAATTTCTCGCTTTTCTGGAAAACAAGCTGGTACCTCAACTGGAGATATTTTACCAACTGGCTTGAATGAGGAAACTTTTAAATCCACATCCATGGCTTCTGTCTTTTCACTTATTGTTGATTCATGTCTTATTGGACTTTCCTCTGAGTTAGAATTGTCCTTATATTTAGGCGTCACTATCATGTCATGTGCTAAATTCTTTATGTCTAGACCAAGTGTTTCGCAAGACAAGGACTCACTCATATCTGAGACAGTGTTTCCAATTCTGTTCATGCTCTCTGATCCAGTATAAATTGCTCTATTAGTTGGCTGTTCTTTAATTGCTAAACCAAAGTCATCCTTGCCTGTGCAAGTTTCTCTTCTCTGTGAATGTGGCAAGGGAGATATGCGTTCTGAACTGGTGGTTGCAAAAGGCTTTGGACGTCTGATTCCTGAATCTATCCTTGAATAAGTCTCATCTTGGTTCGCATTAGATTCCTGCTTTTCTGAAAAACAAAGCGGAACCCCACCAACGGATGTCTTACCAACTGTTCTGAATAATGAATTTTTTATTTCTACACCAACAACTTCATGATCTTCGCATATTGTTGATTCTGTAGGTATTCGACTTTTTTTCAAGCAAGAATTATCGTCACATTGAACAGATGATACTAAGATATCAGCTGCTAAGCTCCTTAGGTCTGGCCCGAACATTTCAGGAGGCGAAGATACTATAATTTCTGAACTGGAAACTTTAGTTCTCTCCAAATCATCTGCACTTGTACCAATTATTCCATTAGTTGCTTGTGTTTTTATAGATGAACCAAAGTTACCCGAGTCTTTGTAAGCCGCTGCTAATTGTGGAGCAGACACAGGACTGACAAGTTCTGAAGTGATGATTACAGAAGGACTTGAATCCTTCTCATCTAGTGGAGCTAAATTGATTCTTATTTGTGAGCTTGGTTTTGAAGCATGTTTTGATTCTTCTGCTTCATCTCTTCTCTTGTGTATTGAAGACATTTCAACTTGCTCCTTAGGTACTCCTACAAATGAAGAGTTTAGATCCTGTGTTTTGAGAATGCTGTTTTGTTCCTTCTGTTCAGATCTGCAGATGCTTTGTTCTGCTGCAACTTTATCAAATCTCCCTTGAGAGTGCATTGGAGCATGTTTTTCCACTTGTCTTTCAGCATAGCCAACTGTCTTAAATGCTCTGTTTGCTGCCATATCAGGGGACTTTCCCGCTATTTTTGACACTACTGGGCTGTGTTCCATAGGGAATGGGCTATTCGTCTCTGTTTTGTCCATCAACTGTCTTGCCTTTGACACTTTGTCAATTGCAGGAGCTAAAATTACAGTTGATTCGACTTTTCCTGCTTCTGATTTGAAAGCACAGGAGTTATTTCTGTGTTTCTTCCGGGCACCTTTTTTTTCTCCTGGCTTGAGATCTGCCATTTCACTGCGTCGTTTCTCAGATCTACTAGTTTTATTGCTTTGGTGTTCATTCTCAGATGGAGACTGAGGCAATTCATCCGTAATAAATATGACTTTGCCTGGTGGAGAACTTACAGAACTTTCCACACTGTAAACATCTGACACTGTGCTTTCTGAAGCCCAAGGTGTGGAGGACCGGCTGCTTGAAACTGTCTCCCATATAATTCCACTGTCTTCACTTTGTACAGTTACCATGGAGAAGGAAGAACTTGACATGATGTAATTCATCTTTGGTTTTACAGACTGGTCTTTAGTAGCATTCTTTAAACTATCAAGAAATAAACAAAAGAGTTTTAAGGTGTGCAATAGTTTGCATCCCATCTTTAAAATCAGAATTGAACTAAACATAGGTACCATAAATTGTATTGCCAAAAGTATTTATTGAAAATTTCAGCCACGAGCTTTACCTTTCAGAATATTTTAACATACAACATTAATATTTTAACGAGCATGGTTGGAATGTAGTCTGTCACAAACTACAGTTGATGCAATGTCCATAAAAATATCTTAATAGGGAATTAAAAAGCTGCTTGAAAAGAAAGAATATTAAATATTACGTGGAGAGAGCAGAGGAGTTGACTTAGATTAGTTGGCTCATGTGGAGAAAAGCAATATCGCTGACTACACAGGACCAGTCGATCACGCCATCCTCATCCACTGCCTCTCCTCTCTCATCCACTTCAGTGGGACTGCACTGGCCTGGTTTGAGTCCTACCTAACAAACCGCCTTCACTTTATTTCCTCAAATGGTTTCTTCTCCCACTCCACTCTGTACCCCAGGGCTCCATCTTTGGCCCCTCTTCTTTCTCATCTATATGCTCCCTCTTGGCGATATCATCCGCAGACATGGGGTAAACTTCCACATGTATGAAGATGACACACAATTCTACTTCTCCTCTTCCAGCTGCGACTCCAGGTCCGCTAATGATCTCTTAGCTTGTCTGGCGGACATCAGGCCCTGGATGAGCGAAAACTTCCTACAACTAAATGTTGACAAGATGGAAGCCATACTTATTGGCTCCCGTCAACGTCTTCCATTCTGCGGCTCTGACCTCCTCAACCAGCCTAGCTATCCCTCAGACTTGCCGAACCAGTGCACAACCTAGGTGTCAGATTCGAGCCACAGCTGTCCTTCCTTCCCCACATCCAGTCCCTGACCAGGACCACCTTCCTCCACCTCCCTGTTATGGGTGTTTAATGTTAAAGTTTATCAGGAAATTAGTTTAATATCAACTACCAGACTCAAAAGAGTTGGGTCGGTGTAGGACTTCAATGTAATATTTAATTTGGAAATACCTGGTAAAATCCTATCGATAAACAATGAATGTAGAGGGTGTGTTCGGATGGGAAAACTAACTTCAGCATTCTCCTGAATTCAGGACTTGTTTCTGAAACAGACACTATGAATTTAGCATGTATAATAATAACAGTAAAAGCGAGTTCAAATGTTTTGATTGAGGTCCTTTAAAATGTGCTGCAAGTGAGGCAGTAACCTCTTCCAGTAACAGTTTAAAGGCTCAACTTCTTGGATTATCTTTTAAACTCACCAAGTAGCCTCCTCAGATCAAAGATGTCTGTAACTTAGTTTTGAAGAAAGTAAACTCCAGATAATTTGATCCTGGCTTAACTCGTCACTATCTCTTAAATTGTCATGTTGTCAATATTCTGACCATATAATAATAATCCTTGCATTTGATATAGCGCTTTTCATATTTTCTAGCCATCTCAAAGCGCTTCACAGAATATACTGTAAAGTGAATTGACTGTATATTTGTGGGCAAAACATGGCAGCCAATTGCACATAGCAGTGTCCCGCAAACAGTCAAGGACTAAAGTGACCAATTTTTATTGTTTTCTTTTTCTTGAGGTATTATTATCAAGTGTGTGGAGTAAGGAAACTTGCCCAAGGTTTCGCCCTGCTGGGAGTCAAACCCAGGTCTCTCGCTTGCAAGGCGAGTGCTCTAACCACTGAGCTACAGGACTCCTATAAACTATTAATAAGCAACATCACGTTACTCGCACTCTGCTTCAATGCATAACTCATCGCATTTGTATAAATTCTTGTAAGTATTTCAATGTAAAATTGATCAGATAACTTGTCCTATAAGTTGGCGGGCGTCTTGCATCGCAGAGGCCTCCACCCTATCCTGTGACTGGTGCGAGGAATAGGGTTGCCAACTCTGGTTAGACATATTCAGGAGGAATGGTTGCCGTCATAAAGTAAGTCAGCACTGGCTTTACGGTAGCATCGTAAAGTCCCTATGATGTCCACAAGTCCCAGGAATTCCCTACGCTTTTTCTCCCAGGTTGCTCGTAGCAGTGTCTGGGAGACTGATTTTTAATTCCTGCAGACTCCAGGACAATCCGGAAAGGTTGGCAACCCTGCCGCGTGCTCGGTGGGGAGAGTGCAAACCCCATTCCAGACACAGGGAAATGTCCTTGTGTAGGTTGCATACATATGTGGAATTCTCAGTCTGGTTTGGATACTCTTAAGCACGATGATTCATTTCCACATATGTCAGTCACCCAGCTGACCAAAAACAAAACAGGTGGAATTTCAGGCCCCCTGATCTGGTAATCCCATTTCCTCCTCGAGCAGCTGCAAAGATAGACAGTCCTACTTACTTTCTCAATTATAGTCTGAGTTGCTGCAAATAACAGAAACATAAATTGGGCACTGATGGTCTTGTGGAAAAGAAATTGTACAATTAGAATTAAAGATATAAATTATATTATGTTAATATACAGGAGCTGGGCAGGGAAGGGGAAAGTTGGCTGAAAGCACAGTTGAAGAGCTAGCTCTTAAGGCAGGTTTGGGGGTGGAAAGTGGGGGGGGGGGCGAGGTAGAAGGAATCTGAGATGGAGTGGAAGCAAAGTGGCTGAAGACTTGTCCACAGATGTGGGGTAGTGCAGGTGAGGGATGTGAAGCAGGCCAGTGTTTGCTGAGTGGAGGGAGCGTCCATGACAATACGATTGCAGGAGATCACAGGGTTGGGATGGGGTGAGGCCATGGAGACACTCGAAACCAAAAACAAGAATCTTGAATTTGATTCTCTGGGGGATGGGCAGTCGGTATAGCCGAATGGAGATGGGGGTGATGGGCTCACAGAGCCTGTTGCGAGAGAGAGCACAGACTGCAAAGTTCTGAATGGTCTGGAGCTTGTGCAGGGAGGAGCTGGAGTATCTAGCATTTGATTAATCAAAGCTGGATGTAATGAAGACCTGGGGAGGATTTCAGAAGCGCGGAGGAGGTAGTGGCAGAGGTAGACAACGTTGTAGGGTTGAGAGAAAGCAGAGCCAGGGAGAGCTCAGATATAAGGTTTGAAGGATGGTTGAGGGTCAAACAACATTCTGAGGTTGCTGTGAGGTGGAGTGAGAACTCGTTCAGATCGATGCAGTCAGTGCCTGAGGCTCAGGCCTGTGGATGTTGAGCTGTAGAAAGATTGAACTCATCCAGGACTTGATGTCTGACAGTCAATCGATCAGAACAGCAGTGGTCCTGCAATTGAGAGTAGAGGCAGACAGGGAGCGAGCCAGAGAGTTGAATGTCATCCCAAATGATGCTCAATCTGATTGAGAAAGTAAACCCAGAACTGGCATTTCAGATACACCAAGCCAGCCAGCAGGTCAAGAGGGCAATAAAGACACAGGACAGGTTCCCAGGAAGGGAGGTAGAGGCCAGGATTCTGGACTCATTTAAGAAACGGTTTGATGCTGTAATGGTTAGGTGTTTGTGGTAGGCAGTGTGGAAGGATGCGATGAAATAAGCTGAGGGCCTTCTTCATGTGTACCTCTCTTAGGATCGTTCCTTTTGTTTTCTGAGAAAGGTGTCACTTTAATGAAAAGGAACTGAGTGTGTGTGGTCTGTGGGGAAGGGCAGGGAGACAGGGGCATTAAGAATAGTAATCGCTTTCAGTATGAAAAGAACTGATTAAAATAGTTACTTTTAGTTATAGCGCTTACTTCCCCAATCTATGCAGAGAAGATGGTTGTCGTACAACTGATACAAGTGGTCCCATGAAAGAAGATGCAAACATCATCTGAATGACAACGAAAGTCAAATTTAAAGTTTCAAAATAAAGGTCACTTTGAACCTGGCTGCATTTAATAATAATAACAATAATAATAATAATCCTTGCATTTGATATAGCGCTTTTCACGTCGGGAGGACGACCCAAAGCGCTTCACAGAACACACTATAAAGTGAATTGACTGTATATTTGTGGGCGAACGCGGCAGCCAATTGCACACAGCAATGTCCCACAAACAGTCGTAGATTGAAAATGACCAATTTATTATTGTTTTTTGTTTTGGAGGGATTATTATTAGGCTCTGTGTGGAGTAAGGAAACTTGCCCAAGGTTTCGCCCTGCCTGGAATTGAACTCAGGTCTCTCGCTTGCAAAGCAAGTGCTCTAACCACTGAGCTACAGGACTCCACAAATAATTTACATTACATTACATTTACATTACAATCTGTGAAACTGAAGCCAAGGAGAACTCGAGGTGGTCTGTCACCACTTGTGACACTTGTGACTAACCCTAACCACTTGTTATATCCCACCCTTTCTCTAATTGCACAGCTACACAAAAAGATTTGCATTGATTTGACCTGGAACACACATTGAATTGAAACAAATTGGTCTCTGAACGAAGACAGGTGATAATTACAACGTTGCATTTAATTAGAGCGAATTATTACATCAAGGGACGGTGATGAAAGAAGAGAGAATATAAATTGTACAACTAGAAGAAGAAACAATGTATTTCACACAGTGCAATGTGAGCATCACATTCCTATTCACATGCACCAACACATCATAGAAATGTATAGCACTGAAGGCGCCCATTCGGCCCATTGTGTTTGTAGTGGCTCTTTGAAAGAGCAATCCATTCTGTGTCCTTTACCTGACTTTTCCTAATACAACAACAACAACAAAGCAACAAAATTACATGTGTCGAGCGTCTTTCACATCGGGAGAACGTTCCAAGGCGCTGGACAGTCAGTGTTTCGTACACGAGCTGAGGGTTGGGATTGGGGAGGGTGGAGGGCAGGGGAGGAAGCAGGGAGATCGAAAGCACGGTCGAAGAGGGGGATCTTGAGACGGGTCTTGAAAGAGGCAAGGGAGGGGGCGAGGCGGAGGCACTGCGGGAGGGAGTTACAGAGGGTGGGGTCAGAATGGCTGAAGGCCCGCTCACCAATGGTGGGGCAGGCTAGGTAGAGGATGTGAAGCAGGCTGGAGCCCACTGAGCGGAGGGAATGGGCAGGT